TTGCCGCATGCCATACTAATTTTCATGAAGTTTGGATCTTTAGGGTCATTCTTTTTAATAATAACTCTTGTATAATAACGAAAGACATTTGCGACCTCATAAATATTTGTGCATTTCAAGATCAACTAGGATGATAAATTTTTTTGAAAAAAAAAAAGGTTATTCAAGCCAAAAGTGTATTACCAAAAAGGCTTTTCTTGTGAAAACCTTACCTTAATAGTTTCACCTTTACGAATTTTAACGATAGAATTGTAGACATTATGATTCTTAAATAATAAAGTTAAAGTAGCGATAGCCATTACCTGAGGAATGGCACAAAATCTAAAGATACTTTCATTTTGTAATTTATTTAAATAAGTTAAACAATCAGGGATATGTTGTAATGCGTTTAATACCATTGTTGATAAACAATTAATTGCTTTAATTTCATATCCTGGTTTTTTAAGGTCTGCCAAATCATCAACGTATTCTGACCAAATTTCTTTTGGCCAAAATCTACGATTATCAGATAAATCTTCAGAATAATCCCTTATGATATTCGTTTTTTGTAAAAATAATCCCATCGAATTCGAACTAAAAATTGCAAGGACGGAACATTAGAAGGTAAATCAAGAAAAAGAAACGAAAATCTTCTTGACTCACATTTCGGTAATTTTGGCTAACTCAGATTTCTCCAATCCACTAGCACTAAATATACAACTTAAACCATTTCCAACCAAGCCAGCAACATAGTGACAATATAAATCATAATCTTCATTCGTCAAAATTCCATATTCTTGATGTGACGCATTTTTTGCATAATCTGCCATACCATTTCCCATCTTATTTGTAATTTCTACAATAACCTTTTGAAATTTTTTTTCTAAATTCAAGAATTCTTCAATTATAATAGAGAATTCTACGAGCAATTGACGATCTTTTTCATCAGGACCGCCTATGTCAAATAAATTAATTATTTAGTCATGTTTCTTAAAAAAAAAAAATAAAAAAACTTTGTAAAAAATCTTACTTTCGTTAAAAGTCCATCCCTTCTTATAAATTATTTCATGAAAATTTCTTAACAAAGGTTCTTTCTTCGTAATGGGGATTGACATATCATCTTCAATGGTATCAAGTCCACGTAGTACCAGATAGAAGATACAAACCTATTTAAAAAAGTTTGTTTTCGAACATTAGAAAAGGTAAGAAATAATTATGAACTTGAACTACATACGGCAT